ATAAGCGAGGTGCCTGGCATGGCAAACTACCTCTATTGGTGCAGTGGTGGAACTGTTATCTGTGTGGGCGGGCAATAAACAGCTATCTAATTGGACTTAAAGTCCTCTCAATTGGAGGGAACTCATGGGTGGCACTCTAAACTCGGCCAAATACACATGGCAGGAGACAATGTAGACCCTGGAGCAAGCCCTATCTCTTTCATATTTTGACAAAAGAAACTTATTACAATATGCTAAATATCGATCATTATATTTTCAGACAAGCATGCCATACAGCACTCACCATAGAAGCTTCTTTTTTAACAGACAGAGACTACTGCAGAGTTGCACATCTGGTCAGGCACAGAGAACATATGCCTGGGAGATGCCCAGTACTAGGTGACACATCTACAGTCGAATCTCTACAACGAAGGCTCATGGAACATATTGGAATAAGGGGTTGAGAGAGGGCTAATGCATCCCTCAACTCTCACCAGTGAGGCGTGCTTGTAAAGCAGAACGTGATGCACACAGGAGGCCACAACTGGCCAAATTTTGGGGGAATAATAGACAGTAGCGTGTAGGATGGGACTCCTATATGGAACCTCACCCACCCATGACTCAGGGGCCAATATGGAAGAGGGGATAGAAAGATTGTAAGAGCCATGGCTGACTGGCTCATGAACACAGGGAGGTGGAGGCTTCCAGGGCACTGGAGGCTTTCTCCTGTGAACCTGTGGCAGTGGTGGCATCAAGTTCTGGATCCATGTCAGCTCAATTAAAAAAGGGCTCAAAGGGGAGGAGAGAAATAGGAGGCAGGCAGGCACTAGACTGAGAACTGTTTGAGACTGATTGCTGCTGGGCGAGGGAAAGTATGACTTCCATACGACCACTGGATGGGCCGACTAGACTCCAGTAGACATGTTTACACTGAAAGACATTTGAGTACAAGCACCTGAATGAATAGTACTTAGCAAGTATGGCTGAGTGCATGGGTGGATGGGGATGGCAAAGGCATGGCTGGGGGAGGAAGTCTGAATTTGAGTGGGAAATATTGCATGAAATGTTCAAAGTTCAATTTCAAGAAACCTTTAACATACATGACAAAACAAATGAAATCTAGTGGGCATGGATATAGTGGGTGCAGATAGGGAAGGCATCTAAGTAGGATTAAGATAAACTTTATAAATATTGAATAAACATTGAATAAAAATATCCATTGAAAAAAATGAACAAAGGATAATAAAAAATTTCAAAGACCACATTAGTTTCTTTAAAAAAATAGAAACTTAATTAAAGGCAATTATTCAATCGTAATCAGAACAGGGAATATGTAATGTAGGCTATGCTAATAAGTTAGCAATTATTTAGTACAAAGTGGAATAGTACACAAATGAGACAAAGGGCGGGACGAAGGGGAAGAGAGGGAAAGATGGAGGTTCCACAGATGAAGGACAAAGAGGAGGGAGGACACTGTGGAGGGAAAAGAGCTAGGAGAGAACAGAGCAGGAAAGGATTCATCAAAAATGGGAGAGTTCAAAACAGAAGTAA